TGAAGCTATTCTGACTTCTTACAACAAATGAAGATAATCCTTCTAGTCCAAAAGTACCATGACTCCTTGTATATTCCACAGTTCGAAGTGGCATTTTTTAAACAGATTTTCCCATTTTACAACTTTAAAATTCAGAGAAACACACAATCAATGAGTTTGACCCTTAGTAAAATAAATTATCAGTATTTTGCCACCATGCTTCCAAGAAAGCCTTTTTAAAATGCATATGATTTGGTTAACATGTTTTGAAAACAATGCACATTTTAAATGCTTCCAAATGCTCAGGAGGAATGTAGTCCTATGTAGACGCCACTATATTTCCAGTAAATCCATCATGGTTCTATTCTAATGAGCTTTTCACTGATTTACACATTGTGTTGCTTTTAAATAACCAAAGAGACAACTGTTAAGAGAAGTAAATTTTGAGCAATTCCAGAGGGCAGAAGGAAAAACAGTATGGTCAAATAATGAGGGGTTGGGGGGTGGAGATTTCCACTTTGAATAAACAGTTCTCTTCTTCTATCATTGATCCTTCTTATTTAATTAAAAAAGTAAATCATGAATACATACGCATTATAAAAAATTCAAACACTATTGAACTCTACAGAATACACTGTCCAATAGAACTTTCTGTGATGATGGAAATGTTCTATATCTGCACTGTTCAATAAAGTAGCCATTAGCCACCTGTGGCTACTGAGTACACCAGAAATGCAGCTACTGAGACTGAGGAACTGATTTTCTTTTTTTTTTTTTTCATTTTAATTAACTTGAATCTAAACACTCACATGTGGCTAGTGGCTACCATACTGGATAGCACAGATACAGAAAAAAAAAAAAGTAAAATCACATTCATCTCTAAAGCCGATAAGAAATCGTTGTTAATGGTTGGGCATATTCTTTGCACAATTTGGCAAGTGTGTGTGTGTGGGGGGGGTGCTGCTAAATGTCATATAAATGCATCAGTGGCTTACGGAACGGGCTCTGGAGTCAGATAGCCTGAATTCAAATCCTCATACTAGATGTGTGACCTTAAGTTCATTAACCTCTCAATTTCCTCATCTGTAAAATATGACTTATAGCCCTCAGGGATCTACTGAAAAGTAATTAACCAATATACGCAATGCCCTTAGAACAGTTTCTGGAATGTAATAAGCATTCAATAATGTTAGATATTGGTATTACTATTATTGTATAAAGTATTGTAAATATTGTTCTGTGGCTTAGTTTGCACTTCTTGTCTTAGAAAGCATTCTATGTCAGAGCATATAGGTCTACCTCATGTTAAATATGTGAACTTTTTAAAAATTACAAAAGTAGTAAATGCACAAACAACAAAACAAATGGTCAAAATTGACTTACTTTTACCTTCTGAAATGGTGGACTAAGAAACTCAGATCAATCATCCCCTAAGACACCATAAGAATTGGATCACAATTTTATTTATTTATTTATTTATTTATTTATTTTTTAGAATAACACCTGCTGTAAAGAACTAGAAAACTAACAAAATAATGAAGAATTACCAAGTTCAAATTTGGGATAGAACCCCTGGGCCTGGGCACTAATTTTTCCCTAACAACATAATAAAGAATTCAAATAGAGGGTTATCATGATGTGGGGGAAAAAGGCACAATAAAAATTATTAAATTTATTTCTGCCCACTGACAAGTCCTAAAACAGGCAGAGTGATATTCCTCTAGGGGCTCAACTGCCTCAATGTTAATACTTTGCTAAAGGTAAAAGGCAACGTTAGCCCAACCCCCAGGATCTTGTAAGTCTACTTTAACATATAAAAATCCCTTGAGAAATTTCCTTTATCTCTGAACCCCCCCAAGATACATATTGGCAATCATACCCCAAGCATATGACCCATCAGTATACATTTGAAGGGTCTCATGACTAAGGTTTTATTAGATGGTGATAAATGACCTTTTCCCAACAATAGCTAGCACCCTCAAGGTCCTGGAAACCTTGCTTCCAAAATTCCTTAGAGACTTACTTATCCCTAACCCCTCACAACTTGAAAGTATATAATGGGCCACTCCTCATGACCCCAGTGCAGCTCTTTCTGCCCACTGGTCCTCTCCCTATTGCTTTAATAAAATCACTTTTTTGCACCAAACCCTAATGTCTTTCCTATATCAATCAGACAATGACTTTGAAATAACTGTACTTATCCTCAAGGAAATAAAAGACAAATTTGAGAATTTCAGAAAAGGACTAGAAACTATAAAAAGGAAGCAGATGGAAATCCTAACACCAAAAAATGTAATATAACAAAAAAATAATAAATTGTTCATTGGATGGATTTAAGTGCAGACTCTAAACAGCTGAAGAGTGAATTTGTGACTTGGAAATTAAGGTAGAAGAAAATATCCAGAATAAAGAATGGAGAGACAAAAGGAGGTGAGGAAAAGCCAGAGGAGAAGATAAAAGATATTGAGGATGGTGTGAAGCCTAATTTATGTTAATATGGATTCTCAGAAGGAGGCAAAACAGACTACAAAAGATGATAATATTGGAAGCAAAATGGCTGAGAAATTTGTGAAACATATGAAAGGCATCAATCAGTAAGTTCCAGAAGCTCTATGAACCACAAACAAAAGGAAGCAAAAAGAAAACACTAAATGCATGGTCATAAAACTACCTCAAACTGAAAACAATAAGCACTCTTAAAAGCAGTTGGAGAAAACTATTAGATAAGCTTCTAAGGAGCAGTAATAAAACTGAAAGTTAATTTCTCCACAGAAACAATGGAAGCCAAACAAAATTCAGCTGAATGCTCTCTTAAAAGTGCTGTAAGGAAAAAAACTGTCAACCTAGAATTTCAGTGAAAATACCCTTCAAGAATAAAAGTTTAAAAAAATAATGAAAGATTTACAGAAAAAAAATGAGAGGATTCATCACCCGCAGACTCACTAATGAAAATACTGTGAGTACTCTAGAGGCAGAAGAATGACCTCTAGTGGAAGGTTAAAAATGTAGGGATGAATGAAGAGCAACAAAAATGGGAATAAATCTGTACAAATGTTGACTAAAAAAACAGGCCCTAAGGCCCCAACAGGCTTAAAGTATATTTAAATTTAAACATTCATGTAAGTCAGAGAGGGTAAATAAAAATTAAAGTGTGCTAAGGTCCTTGCACTATTTTGGACAAGGAAGGACATCAATTAATATTAGACTTTTGAAAATTAAAGATGCAAGTTGCAATATCTAGGAAAACCATCCCTCTATTCCTAATTTAGTTTTGATAAATGGATTTTGAATTCTTTTTTTAGATATTTTGTTTATTTATTTAAGAGAGTGAAAGAGAGAGAGAGAAGGAGCACGAGCAGGGGGTAGGAGCAGAGGGAGAAGCAGACTCCTCACTAAGCAGGGAGCCTGACGTGGGGCTCGATCTCACAACCCTGAGATGGTGACCTGAGCCAAAGGCAGATGCTTAACCAACTGAGCCATCCAGGCACCCCTGGATTGTGAATTCTATCAAATGATTTTTTATATCTTTTAAGACTATAATAGCCCCCTACCACTATCTATGGGGGATACATTCCAAGACCCCCAGTGGAGGCCTGAAACCACGGATAGTTCTAGACTTTATCTATGCTCTGTTTTTTCCTATACATACATAGGAAAGCTTATTTTATAAATTGGGCACAGTAAGAGATTAACAACAATAACTAATAATAAAATAGAACAATTATAACAATATACTGTAATAAAGGTTATGTGAATGTGGTCTAAGTATTTTTGTGATGATTCAGGATGAGAAAATGCCCCCCCCCCCCCCCGATGAGATGGAGTGATAGGAAATGGCATTGACACTGTGACAGAGTGTTAGGCTGCTACCAACCTGATGACCTGAAGTTACCTCAGAAGGAGGATCACCTGCTTCCAGACTGTGGTTGACCACAGGTAACTGAAAGCATGGTAAGAGAAACCATAAATCAGGGGCCACTACTGTTATCATCTTGTTTTTACCCTCTGAATTATTAATGTAGAGCTATTAATGTAGAGCATATATGACACAGATTCTTTGGTATTTCAGAGTTGTTTTGCAACCTAGAATATGGTCAATATTTGAATATGTTCTATTGTGCTTGGGAAAAATATGCATTCTGTGATTAATTGGTAGAGGTTTCTAAATACATCTGTTTTAAGTCAAACTTGTGAACTGTGTTGTTTTAAAAATAATTAAATTATAAACTCAATTGCATTTCTATACATCAGTAATAAACAATTAGAAACTAAAATTTTTAAATGACACCAACACTTATAATAGTATTTAAAAAAATCAGGTATTTACCAAAATGTTGTAAGACCTGTTAAAAATTATAAAACTTTACTGAAAGATAGAAAATAAGATTTAAATAAATAAAGACAGATACTTTGCTCATAGTTTGGAAGATTCATTGCAGAGATGTCAGTTCTCCACATTACGTGTGTGTGTAGGCATATCAACAAATGACTCTCTAAGTGTATACAAAAGTACAAATTACCAAGAATATCTAAGACACACCTAAAGAAGAATCAGATGTCAAGATTTATTATGGAACTGTGATGATAAAATAATATGGTATTGATACAGGAAAAGACAGACTAATGAAACAGTACAGAAACCTAGAAGTAGACCCATTCAACTATGTATACTTTATGACAGAGGCAATACTGTAATCAATAGGTAAAGGAAAGATTTTTCGATACATAGAGCTGACCATTGGGTTATCTTTATAGGAAAAAAAAAAACAAAAGAAATTTAACACTTAGTTCACACCATATACAGAACTTATTTCTAGGTAAATTAAAATCCCAACTGTAAAAGTGAAAACTATAAAACTTCAGTAGAAAAATTTTCTAATGACCTAAGGGTAGGAATGGATTTATTAAAAGAAAGAAAAGAAAAGAAACCAAAGTGAAATAAATATAACTAAATTAAAATATTTATTTAAAAAAATTTATTTAAATCTGTTCATCAAAATATAGCCCTCCAAAAGAGAAAACAGTAAGCCACAAATGGAAAAGGATTATTTACAGTATATATACCAATAAAGGATCTGTACATTCAGTGTATAAAATACTCTCACAAATAAATAAGAAAAAATTAAAACCTTAATGGAAAAATGAGCAAAAGATGCACCAATCACTTCACAAAGGATGAAATGTGAATAGTACATGAACATGTGGAACGATGCCCAACCCCATTAGTGACAGAGAAACAAAATTTTAAACCAGAAGGATATACAAATATCCATTCAACATGATATGACATTTTAAAATCTAACAGCACTAAATGAGGATCTGACACAAAGGGAACTCTCATATATTGTCAGTTGACATAAAAATTGTTTAGCCATCTTTGACAATTGGGCGTTTTGTAAAGCCAAACACATGCATACCTCATGATCCAGCATTTCCACTCCTAGATCTATACCCTGGAGAAAGTCTTGCACTCGTGCACTGAACGACATATACAAGAACATTCACAGCAGTTGGTATATCATGCAAATGTCCACTGGATTGGGAATGGCTAACTAAATTACAGGACACGTCAATAATCTTTCATCCAAAATATTCAGTGGGATTTTTTTTAATTTTAGAAAGACAAAGAATAAACACACAAATATGTATGTATACATGTAAATACATATAGATGATGTAACACCTCAAATTCAAACATGTAACATTTTCTGAAGTAAAAACATGAGTTTTTATACTAAATTGATCAATAAATACTGTAAACATCAGTTCAAGTTTTTTTACTTTCAGAATTTCAAAGAAAGGATGACACATATTCACTGACAAAATAGTACAGAACAATGAAAATGAATAAATTATAAACTATATCAGCAGCAGCATAGATGATTCAGGAACATAATGATAAGTGAAAGGAATGAATTAAGAGTATCAAAGCTAGCAATATATTAATTAAGGGATACATGAAATTGTGGCTAAATTATAAAGTAAATAAAGCAATGAGATTATTATTATTTCTGAAGGGAAGAAGGGGATGTGATCAGAGAGTATTGGTTACTCCCTCAATTTTAAATAGTATATATATATTATTTTTTTTTAATTATATGTCCATGCACAATTATATGTTTGTGTATGTGATACATTTCACAATAAAAAGTTAAAGATAAAAAAGCTATTGATTTTATAACTAGCCACTTCATTCTTTTATTGTTTCTAATATTTTTTCCATCAATTCTCTTGGTTTGTATATGAAAGTATCAACTGTATATAATGATAATTTTGTTTTCTCCTCTCTAATATTGAATTTCTTTCTTTTTTCTTACCACTGCATTGGCTGTTGCTTCTAGATCAATGCTAAAATAACAGATCATTTTTTTTTCCCTCATACCTTTCGTGGATCATCTGTGCAGTGTTTTACCCCTAAATATATAAAGAACTTTTGCATGGTTGGAACTGTCTCAGGTTGCAACAGGCCACTTGGAGAGACAAGCAGTGAGCCTCTGTGAACTTGTGTTTTACTGTGCTCCGTGTTTGTCACTGCACATGATGTGGGGACCCTGACATCATCCCATGGCCCTCCACGGGGCCAAAATGGAAGAAGCGCTGCCTGAATGCAGGAGGGTGGACAGACTGTCGCTGATGAGCTCGCACAGAGGCCAGGCTGAGCGGCCTTCTCCATAGAGCCCAGGGGTGCTCAGGTCAGGCTCATCTTCAATTACAGAATTGGCTGGCTCACAAACAGGCTGGAGGGAGTCCTCTGTCTCAAACCAGACACCTGCATGCCTGTGACAGATCTTTCCCCACAGGCCATTCTCTGAGCACAGCACAGCTGAATCCAGAACAAACACCTCTCTCAAAGGGCCTGTGTTTCATTTAATAGAGTTCAAATTGAGTGTCCAGAAACCTTGATGCTTTTTTATTTCTTCAATGCCTTCTGCAACAGCTGAAGGGATTCCCTGGGCCCCCACCTCGCCCACATCTCAGGACCTCCTCACCTGCGAGGTCTGCCACTGCCGCAACTTCTCAATTGTTCTAAAATAGTGCCCAGTGCCCAAGATGAGTTATTGAAGGGCTGGCTGAAAATCTGGGGACCTGCATATATAATACATCTGCAGAACTTCTGGGCAGGAGCTGTGTTCATAATTGCTTCTAGAGCCTGGGTGAGCAACAAAATTAAAACTTTTTAAAAACACAGATTCAAAAGTCCCACCCTAGGCTAATGGACTTAGAATCTCAGATGATAGGGTCTGAGAATGTGAGTTTTTAACAAGTAATATTAGTTGGTTATTACTACATACACCCCAAAATGCATGGCTTAAAGCAGTAAGAATTTATTATTTCTCATGAATCTACAGGTCATCTGAGCAGTTCTCCTGATCTCAGCTGGGCTCATTCATTCATCTATGGTGAATGTAGTTTGGGTAGGTAGCTCTACTGATCCAGGCTAGGCAACTTCACTTTGGGGAGAATCAACTAGCTAAAGGCTAGTCTATGAGGAGATTGCTTGGGATTGCTGGGCCCCCATCCATATGATCTCTCCTCTCCAGGAGGTCACCCTGGGCTTGTTCACAGGGGCTCTGAGGAGCTAAAGCAAGTAAGACTTCTTGAGGCCTAAGCTTGGAACAGGCACATTGTACTTTCATCTCATTCCACGGGCCAAAGCAAGTCCTAAGGCCAGTCCAGATTCATTAGAGAAAGGGAATGGGATCTCCGTCTTCATGGGAGAGGCTGCAAAGGCCCACAAGAAGATGGGCATTGGAAGGAATGAAAATTGAGAACATTTCTGCAATCAATCTGCTGCATATGTCCCCTGGTGAGCCTAATGCAGGCAGCCTGGCATCAATCTACAGACCATCTGTGTATTCCAGGGATAAATGGTGTCCTCTCAAGATGCCTACAGAGAAGGCCACTCAAGGCCTCCCATTGTGTTATTCATCCATGGGGCTTAATTAATTCTCATATCACAGAGTCTGCACCTTGTTACTGGTACCAAAACCTCAATCTTGTCAGCACTGCATAGGTAATCTTGGGCCTGGCTGACCTCACCCAACTCACAAAAGCCTCAGTTCTTACTAACCAAGAGCGAATCAATTCATTTACATAGAACCAGCTGCCCAGACATTTGGGTCAGCATTCTTTTCCTAAAAGCAGAGACATGGAAAGACCAATCAGAACCAGAAGTCTGCTTTATGTATCAGGTAGGATGTTTTCAGTTGCCACTGATACAAAAATCAGCTCAAGCAACTGAAGCAAAGAGAGCAAGTTCACACATTTGTTTAAGTCTGGGTGTAGGCCTATCTTGACCCAGGAGCTTAAACAATGCCTTCAGGCTACTCCTCTCCATCTTTTGTCTCCATCTTCTGCTGCATAGGTTCCTTTCTCAAGCTGCATTAGAATACTCAGCATGAGTATTCTAGTATCTAGAAGACTGACATCCTCACAGGCTCAAGACCAATTGAAAAAGAAAGTGTGTTTTGTTTCTCAATATTCCAGCAAAATCTTGTTTCTTCTTACTGACTCTGAATGGGACACATGGCCATCTCTAAGCCAATCACAATGGGAGGAGAATATGATATTCTCTATGCTGATGAGGATGGACTAACAAATAAATAAGATAAATAAGAACTGTAGTATGTCAGATGGTGATTAGTGTCAGAGGAAAAAATAGAGCAGAGAAGGAGAACAGGAAATGTCAGAGTAGGAGCTCAATTTTAAACATGGTGGCCAAAGAAGATATCACTGAAAAGTATAGATCAAACGTGGGCCTAGGCAAGGTGTGCAGATGCCTACAGAAGGGCATTCCAAACAGAAAGTAGAGCCAGCGTGAAGTCCCTCGGGCAGGGGTGGGATGGTCTCATTGGCTCTTTGTTCCCATACATTTAGAGATACCCCAGCCCCCCAGCCCTGGACAGGGGACTGTGGATTAATCATCTGGTTTAAGCTCCTACTCATGCAGATGAAGCCAGAGACACTTTAATCCTCAATTTTTATTTTTGTCTGTTATGACCATGATATTTTTAAGGCTCATGGGCCAGTTATTTTGCAGAATGTCCCTCAAATTAAGGGTCTGATGTTCCTCAATCACGTCTAAGTTACACATATTGGACAGAGATACCATAGCAGTGATGGTGTGTTCTGCTCAGTGTGTCATATCAAGAGACCCATGACATCAATTTGTCCCATTCCAAGATGTTAACTTTGATCATCTCATTAAGGTGCTGTGTGTCAGGCTTCTCCACGTTTCTGTTTTTCCATTTGCCACCCTAAATATCTTATGGAGAGGCACTTAAAGATTATGTTAATATCCTGTCTATCAAACTTTCACCCCCTTGTTTTGACAGCTTTTTAAAAAAATCCCAGGCAATTCAAATGTGCAGTCAGGACTGAGAACATTCCCTAGGGCCTCCCTGTTCCTATATCCTTTAAAACTAGGAGAAAGAGATACTGCACAGTCTTCTTCCAGGACTCGCTGTTCAGTGTGGGCCACAGAGGAAAATAGGCACAGTGGGCTTAGCACTGCCCACTGTGGCTAAGCATGAGGTGAGGGAGCCCTGGACAGAGCAGCTTCGGACTCAGCCAGGGAGGTCAGAGTCAACATTAAGCAGAGCCTACAGCACCTCTGGTCCAATGGCTCTTAGCCTGGGATGTTTCTCCATCCAAGTCTGACCTATTGCAGAAGAGCCCCTCTGTTCTCTGCCCACTCTCTACAGCACCCCAAGATGTCAGGCCCCTCTGGCTGCAGCAGATGAAGCAGGACACTGCAGCCAGGAAGTGGGATCCACACAGGGTAACCAACTGTCCCAGTTCATCTAGGACTGATGAGATGCCCTGGACACAGGACTTTCAGACTTAAAAATCAGGAAAGTCCCAGGCAAATCAGGATGAGTTGATCGCCCTAACAACCCACTGTAGTGTAGACATAGCTGGTACCCAGTAACCAAGAACTATACCTAGAAGTGATCTAGAAATTCAGGTTTAAATTAATTGATCTAAAAGATGAGAAGGACTCGAGCTGGTCTTTAAGAAATTGATAGGCCCAGAAGGTACAGAGCAAGATTTAGGGGATGAGCAGAGGGTTCTATTTTGAAGCAACTGAGGCACAGAGATCAAATGGGACTGAAAGAAGTCCATAAACCAAACTGGGCCGGTGACTGGTGTGAATAAGAAAATGGAGATAAAGTGCCTTCCCTCCTTCAAGTTCCCACAAGTGTCTCTCCTTCAGAGTTCTGACAGCTGTCAGAGGATTCAGGCACTAAAATGATTATGATATCCACCCCCTCTACCCCCACTGCACATATATATACATGATATATAATTCCAAAGACAAAATGTAAGGAATTTCAATAAAATTCACAACCTCCCTTTCCACTTTGTTGATGGCCCCATCTGCTGCTTTTCTAGCAGTGTACCTGTTCTACCTCTTGGGCCCTCCAGCCTTGCTCCTTGCACTGCAATGTCCTGCTGACCTTTTTGTATTCTGCTCAGCACTGGAAGCTCCTGGAGTGCAGATATTCTGCTTAAAGCATGTCCATACTCCCAGCCAGGGCTGAGCACAAGGACCAAATAGATGGCATTCTCAAAGTAGGCAATTTGAAGAGAGTTTAATAAAGGGCTATTTATAAAGATGTGGGCAAGGTGTAGGATGGTGACTCTCTATGTTACTACACATTAAATGTCTAGAGAGTCTTAGAAATCACTGCTTCCTGGATCTTATCCCCAGAGAATATGACGGAATTAGTCTAGAGTTGCACCGTCCAGCATGGTGACCACATGTGGCTATTGAGCATTTGCAGTGTGGCTGGCCCAAATCAAAATGTTTTAAGTGCAAGACATGCAGCAGATTTTGGAGGCTTAGTACCAAAAACAAGAATACAAAATATCTCATTCATCATATTTCAGAATGATATCTTATTAAAATGGTAATATTTGAACACTGGGATAGATAAAAATATCATAGAAATTAATTTTGTCTGGTCAGGTTTTTTTTTACTTTTAATATAATGTGGCTACTAGACAATTTAACATTACATATGCAGCTCAAATTATATTTCTGATGGACAGTATAGGTCCAGAGCATAGCTTGACATCAGACTGGAATTTTTTACAACTCCCCAGATGATTCTAAGGTGCAATCAAAATTGAGAAGCACTGGTTTGGAGGAATCATAAGACATAATGCAGTAGCTTGTGACTAGCAACAGCAGGTGATTACGGGAACATAGTGAGAGTAGCTCTATAAAGAGAACTGCCTGGCAGGGGCAGTGGTCTCTCATAGAATGATGAAGTAAACTCAAATTCAGTAAGGAGAAAGCAAGGAAAATAAGCAGATACCTCTTCCTCCTGTCTTTGATCCCCAACTGGTGATCTGTCTTACTGAACCCAACTGACAGCCAAATGACAAGGACACCTAGTTTATGCAGCCCATTCCAGTAAGCTTCCCTGGGCCCAGAGCAAGGCTGAAAAGGATGGAGTGTGAATTTAAAGAGGCAAATGGAAGATAACCAGCTCAGGCACTTAATGAATGTTTTGGGAATAAATGAAGATATAACACATAAACCCTTAGAGTAGTAGCACTGACCACAGGTAGTCTGTACACCTTCCATCTTTCCAGTCCTAAGTCCTAGATTAACACCTAGTGAGAAATGCAATCAGCAGCATTTGAGTTGCCCAGAATAATTTCCAAAGCTAGGTAACTCATAGGCATCCTCTTTACTCACAAACAGTAATTCTGAAGTCCTTGGGTACTTCAGTTCCTGCAGGAAAAAAAAAAAAGTTGAATAATAATACTAATAACCAATAAGTTTCTATCCATTAAGTGTTTAACATTTGCCAGGCAAAGTGCTTGCATGTAAAGTGCTTCAAATAAATTATAACACAGTGTGGGTCTATGCTTTTTTAAAATTTCACAGTAGAAAATATATATTATGTATCAGGATATAAAAATGGAACTATTTTTATCTCAACTACACCTAAGATCCCAAAGATGAAAAAGAAAAACATTTAATGCCAGTTACTCCTATATTCCAAAGGATGGCATCCTGTGTTTTTGTAGGATGTACTAAGGTATCATTAAATGGGGTCTGCCAGCATTCTGGCTGAAGGGACAGTAGCCACCTGAGGCAAGACCTTCTCCCCATGATCACCGGAGTACAAGAGACAAACCCAAACCACTCAGGCACTCATCAAGCTCTGTTTGTGTCATAAGTACTATCTTTCCATTGGCCAAGTCCAAAATCAATGTGGTAGCAAAGGACATCCCACTGAAATAGTACATGCCACAGGGAAGAAGTAAAGAACTGTGATCAATAACCAATCCAAATAGTGACAGTAACAATCCAATAATTCAAAGAGAGAAGAAGCAGTTGACATTCTCTTTTCCATGCCAGGTTTCCAAGCTCAAAGCAGCCTGTGAATGCTCACAGAGGGGAAATGCTTTAAACTTAGTGAGAGTGTGGAATGATACACTTACAGCACTGAATGGGACATTTTATTGAAATGAGAACTTTCTTGAAACTGGAATTGGTCAAGAGACATTTTGTTGCCTAAGACTGACTGAAAATAGATTATGAATTTACCCAAAGTTCCATTTAAGATCAGAAGAGAACACATCTGCATGTCGCGTTGAGATGCCCTGTAGGTGGAAGGATGAGTTTGCTTCTAGAACCCCCACTGAGTCCAAATCATGCAGCAAACCAACCTTATATGCTATTTTCCAACCCACAACTCCTCTGTTTATTTGACATTATTCAAATAGAAAAACCAACACCTTTGCCTTTAGAATGTTTATTTTAATATGTTGTAAACAGTTTGAGAAACAGTATTTCTAAGAGAAGCATTTAAAGATTGCCTTTACCCACCTTCAAAATATTTACAGAAAAGATGAAAATCAGAATGTTTTCAACTGTACCCAAAAGAAATCTGTTGTGCTCTAGTTAAGATTCACAGAAGGGGAAAGAAAAAGTCTGTCACAATCAAATACAAAGCAAAAAACACACTGTTCTGAAGCCAGCAAGCATGAGTTCATTCCTCATGGACTTGGAGAAACATCCCGTCCTCAGAAAAGCTTTCCTGAAATAAAAGGAACTGAGGGCATGATTAAAGGGTATTAAATAGACTAATGTTCTATTCTGAGATGTGTCTGATAAGATATAGATGGTGAGATCAAGTTTACTGGGCCATTTCTCTATACAGACCTGTGTACACCAAACCACCTTCCTCACAACACCCTTCTCACCTTGCCAAGACAACTGCCCTAAGGCAGAGGCCACATCAAGGAGTCCACTTGACATTGTATCACAAGTAGCATCATGCAAAAATGCTAGGAGTCAAGGTACTTACCCCAATAAGTTCTGGAAATCATACTGAGCCCATTCCCCAAAAGATTCTCCTTCTATGGTCTTGACTTTTTAAAATTGATTCACTTTTCCCTTTCCATCCAAAACCACTGGTAAAGACAGCTCTTTTGTTAAAGAATCTGTGTCTTTCCACATGATCTTGCTCCTTGAAAAAATTATAAACTGATGCCAGTTGAGCTGGTATTTGCTTCTATCTGGAAATGACCAATCACATTCCCCGATTTCCTCACATGAGATGCAGCTTTGCCGTCTCTCAAGTTCTCTTATTACCAAATGGAGCTTCCCAAGGACAAATACCTCTATTGTTCATTTCTGTGTCTTTGGTCTCTGGCACAGTGTCTGGCCCTGTATACATTGATGTTTGAGATTCTGTGAATAAATAAAGGATCCTGGGGCCACTACACTGCATGTGTAGTTAGGGGATAACAAAGAAGGGTGAAGGACATGATGGGCCACAGGTCATGATGTGATTGCTGCATGCGCTTTCTCCTCCTTTCCCCTGTGCCTAAGAGCTGATAATAAACAGTAAGAAGAGTAGAGAGATCCATGAGAGGACAGCTTTGAGCCACTATGGTCTCTGCTTCTCCATTAATAGTCAGGGCTGGCTTCTTGGGCTTGTGACCAGAGCAGTTGGCTCTGTGCTCAGAAAGCCCTCACACTTGGTTTCATGTTCTATACTGACTTCTTGAAATTCATAAGAATTGGTGACTAAGGAGTCCTGCCCTTCACTTTCATTCTGGGAGTCTTGTAAATTATATAGCTGGTCTGTTTATAATATGGGGAAGTGAAGAACAAGGAGTAATAAATGCTAAGTTTCCTCCCAACAAGGGCATTCCAAGAATCTGTTGTTTTCACTGGTTTCCTGAGAACAAATGCAGGCTTCTTCCAGGGGACATCCCCGGCTAGGCACCACCTGCCTCCCTTAGGCATTGAGCCCTGGAGTCATTTTCAGCATCTGACTCCCAAACCCATAGGTTTGAAAGGAGAACTAAGAAGTCCATCTGCCTTACTTTCAACTTTGCTGCTAATATTTATTACAATTATTTTCCCTTCTAGATAAGAATATTCTATTGGAGTTTTATTTTTTTTAATATTTTATTTATTTATTCATGAGAGACACACACAAAATGAGAGAGAGAAAGAGAGAGGCAGAGACACAGGCAGAAGGAGAAGCAGTCTCTATGCAGGAAGCCCACTGTGGGACTCGATCCCAAGACTCTAGGATCACGCGCTGGGCTGAAGGCAGGCGCTATACCTCTGAGCCACCCAGGGATCCCCTCTATTGGAGTTTTATTTTATTTATTTATTTATTTCTATTGGAGTTTTAAAGGTCAAAATATTTCCCCCAAAATATATGTGAAATTTGCACCCAAAAACGTTCAGTGTTTTGTTAAACACTGCCAACAACCCCACTTTCCTGTACCTACTTTGTTTTCCTTAAAACTATCATAAACAATCCTAAAATAAAATCTGTTCATCCTCAGTAATTCCTTGCTCTTTAACTGTTGCTTCAGAAATTCAGAAATTCCAGGGCAATTTCTTATGTGGTCACACTTACCATGATGTAATCAATCAAATGAAGACTCGCAGAAAAATTTATTAACTCGGCAGAGAAAAGACTCCTGCCAGGTGCTTAGCTGAGTTATTAATATTGGAAATGAGTGCTGAATTGATGATCAGTAGAAAAACTTCTAAGCAGACACTGGTTTTAAAATTTGATTTCCCCATCCCTAATGAAAGAACTGCTCATACTATATTTCACTGTATAAAAATGTGGTGGAGCTGTACTTCTATTCTCATATCTGGTCTAATGAAAGCCTGATATGTCTCTATTAACTCTGGAGTGTCTGAGACCTGCTTTTGTAATACATCATCTGAAATCAGAAACTACATATTTAATATTTGTTCAGAAATCATTGTTGTCCTTACTTGTGCTCTCATTCAGCTTAATGTCCATTATAAATGACTGATATCCACAACAGGCAATACCACACATTTGTTTCAGTGAGTTTTTCTCTACTGTTCTTAGGCTGGTGATGGGAAGAGTTGTAGCCATAGGCAGGAGGCCATGGGTCTTTGTTCAGCCATTTCTCCATGGCCAGGTCTGATCCTGCAGGAGATGCTAGCCCTTTCCTCACTGATCTTTGTCTATTAGTAGCAGCCAAGGTCTGAGGGCAGGTAGAGCTAAGTAGGTCAAGCCAATGAGGCCACCTGCCTGGAGGAGCACGGCACTCCAAGAGAAGGTTCTGAGAAAGAAGGAGGGATGCTCTCCTTCAGATTCACTGCTGTCTCCGTAGTCCAGGCCTAAGGAAGGAGCTGGACTGTGTTGAGAGATCATGTGACCTCCCCCTTCAGTATCTTCATGCTGGAGTCTCAGATCCACTCAGTTTCCAAGTCCCAAAGCCCATCTGTACTGGAGGGGTGAGGGTTAGCATGCCATGGAAAAACATTTTGGAGAAGGTTTACCCATCCTTAAATATCCCATCATTACTCCTGCCTCACATGCTGGTTACATAACCCACATATATAGGTCTCACTGTCCCAGTTTTCCTAGCATAGTTTGAATTCATCGGAATATTTTGTTATCTATAAAATAGCTGAAAGCTTTCTTTAAGTTTCCTCTTAGTCTTAAAATGCTGTGCTTCTGTGATTCAAGGGGAGATGAAGAAGTTTTTCTGTCATTACTCCCTCTCAGGGAAGAGAGGGCTGGCTGGGGGCCCAGGCACCCTCAGAGCCTGCAGTGGCCGCCTATAGTAAGGAGAAGAGCAAGAAGGAGCTCCACACGCAGTGTGTGCTTTACCCTGTTACTCTGAGTGCATCCTAACCAAGCCACAGCAGATGCTCCTCTGGATGGAGGTTTCCAAAGATCTGTTTTCTAACTCTGACAGCTCTCCAAAAGTTTACTTTGACATACCAGAATTCCTTCTGCTTTCTTTCAGCAAGAGCACTGAAACAGCATCCATTTTATGAACAAAAGTGATACCAACAATAACAATTGAGAATTTGTTTTCTACAGAATTTTTTTAAGGTTTTTGTCCTTTTCGACCTTTATGAATCTATGAAGCTATGAATTCTAGAGCCCCTTTGTTTTACACTCGCTCCCCCTCTTCTGTTCCTCTCCCTGGCTCCCCTCTCCCTAATACCTCATCATTCTGAGGAAAGTGAGAAAGACAGAGAGTTGTCTAAGAGGTAGCCAGAATTTGTTCTTTCTGTAGCAACTGAGGTAGAGCTAGAAGAAAAGAATCTGAGAGAAAAATTTGACCAGCTCCCTCATCTTACAAAAAAACTGAGATTCAGAGTTTATCCTTCCTTAAGCACTGTTCCTAGCCGTCCACATCCACATTTCCTACAAATGCAATAACATACAAATGCAAGTCACACATTTGAGGTTCTCTGTG